TGGTTGAGGATAACTAGTTTGCTAGGTGGTCATGTTTGAGTTGGTAAAACTGACCTTGAGTCTTACCCACACTGAACATCCTGTTTTGGAAATTCCCACGGTTAGCTAACCCAAACATGTTTGTGATTTTTGTATTTAATTCTGGAGCACTCCTTGCAGAAAGTAGTGGAAAATAAGCAGTGGAACAAGAGAGAGAAAATTAGCTGTAGTAGAAGCAGCAGCTTAGGAGAATAAAGAAGAAAATTACAGAGTCTTGGTACCTTTCGTTAATTCGCCAAGCGAGTGGTAAAACCCCCACAACACAAGGATGTTTTCTGCGGAAAAGTCATTTCAGAAAAAAGGTTGCTCCAAAGTCGTCGACCAGGAAGTCCACAGGTTATTAGAGCAAAACTTTGTGACCAAGCTTCCACCCGAACAAATTGACCATGGTAAATCAGAATGGTATCTTCCACTACAAGCGGTGTTCACGCCAGAAAGGACGACTAAAGTTCGACTTGTCTTTGACTCTTCTTCAAAAGGTCACGATGGTTTGTCCCTTAACGACCATCTCAAGAAAGGCCCTAACCTCATCAATAGCCTCCTCAATGTACTAGCAGCATGGCGATGAGACGAAGTAGCATTCACAGGCGAGCGAAAAATGTTCAATCAAGTGTTGGTATATCTAGATGACCAAATCTATCATAGGTTTCTGTGGAGGAATAAGATAACTGATTCACCAACGGTACCAATGGCTCAGATTGAACTTTGGTGATAAACCAGCCCCTGACATAGCAACCAACGCTATCAATACTCTAGCAAAGTTATCGCAAGCTGAGTTCCCTGAAGCTAGAGAGGATATTCAAGAACATGTGTACGTAGATGATATTGGTGGGTCCAAAGAAACTACAGCGAAAGCAAAACAGATAAACAACGACATTGACACTATCCTCAAGAAAGGTTACTTCCATATCAAAGCTTGGCATTCTAATTCGACCAAAAGTTGAAACCAAGTCATGCAGTTGGGGTACCGCAAGTACATGGATTCTGTGATGGAGGCGAGAAAGCGTACGGTGCAGTCATTTTCCCCCGTTGGGAGTTAATGAAAGGAAGTTACAAATGCATTCCTGTCCCTATCAAGTCCTTTGTTGCCCCGTTGAAAAAGAAATCAGTTCCAATATTGGAGCTCATGGGTTGTCTAACACTCACGAGGATGTACGACACTTGCAGAACGTCACTAAAGTTCGCAAATATCCAAGATTGCAAAAGAATGTTCTGGGTGGACTCCTCTACCGTGTTGTCTTGGATAAAGACCCCATCACAAAAGTTTAAGCCCTTCGTAATCCCGCTGACACCCTCACAAGAGGAACCGAACCATCACGACTTACAGATTGGCTACATGGACCGTCTTTCCTCCAATTTCCCGAAGCCAGATGGCCCAGTTGTCGAGCTGAAAACCAAAGTATCCATGTAGAAGAGGATGAAGTCTTAAAGGAAATGAAAACCCCGGAGAAGGCTGACACTTCGCCGAAACAGGAAACAACCATCGTAGATGTTAACGCTGTAAAACACGAGGCATCCACAACAAAAGCTAACGCCAAATTAGCAGAGGATAACCCAGTTTTTCAGCAGTTACTGAAGTTCTGTTCAACATTTCCAAAGATACGGAGAACACTTGCATATGTTCACCGTTTCGCACAAAATGCTAGAAAGAAAAACACCAACACAGGCCCTATCACCGTTCGAGAATTGAAAGAGTCTGAGAATCAACTTTTCAAGTGGAGCCAACTACACTTAGATCCACGCATCATTGACAAGAAGTTGATTCCAAGTCTGGAGGAAGATGGTCAAATTGGAGCTCATGGACGACTCCAAGATGCCAGATCGTAGCCCCAAGAAATAAGAAACCCCATAATCCTACCACGCGTCCATCTAGTTGTCAAGCTGCTGCTGCGTCATCTGCGCATTAAGCGTGCACATTGTGGTTACAAGAGCTTAATTCATGAAGCCAGAAGAAAGTACTGGATCATAGGGCTCTGCAACATGGCCAAAGCTCTCACCGCAAAGGGCATCACCTGCAGGAAACTTCGCAAGAAACCGCTGGACCAGCTAATGGGGCAGATACCGACTTTACGAGTAGCAGCTGGTTTTCCTCCCTTTTCCAACACCGCTGTTGACATGTTTGGACCCATGCATATTAAAATCAATCGGAAGTCTCTGAAAGAAGCCCAGGTTGTAATATTCGCCTGCATGACAACAAGGGCAGTTCATTTAGAACTTGTTAATGACAAAACATCTGATGCTTTCCTTATGGCGTTCCGTCGTTTCGCGAGCTTGCGTGGTCACCCGAGCGTTTGTTGGTCGGACTGTGTTACAAACTTTGTTGGTACACAAGCTTACTTAAAGGAAGTTATGCGGAACATTCCGAAGATTCAAAGTGTTCTATCCGAGGATTTCTGTTGTGAATTCAAATGGAAATGGAATATACCTCACGCAAGCCATCAAAATGGTATCGTGGAAACCCTCATCAAAAATTTAACAAAATACACTGGCAAAATTAACACATTTCAAATACTGGTTTAACAACGAAGTGTCATTTCACGTCTCATCAGCAAAGGGGCAAGCTCTAACTAGTCGCAAAATCTATCCAAACTCACCGAATAAGGTCACAAAGTATGAGTTGGACAAATTTTTCGAATGGCACCGCGTAGCTTAGCTGTCAAGCAAAAGTGAAACTGCACTGAATTAAATGTGGGATTTAACTTCTTAAGGAAATCTTTCCGCCCGGGTCAAGACACAAAATCACGCACTTAGCAGTTAAAAAAAATCATCGTAATGTGTTGTTTGTTTTCCTTCCATCTCGATTTCCTCTATTAAGAATACTTGTCGTTACTTTATGTATTCCAGTCCGAATTGGCAAGCTTAATATTACCCAAACTCTGAAGGATTGGAGCTGCAGCAGTGCTTGTTTACCCTCCCAGCATTTTCGATTGTCTCGTTGTACAAACATTGTATTTCCAAAAGCTTTCCAGGGATCGGGAACGGAGAGTACCTTTTGTAGAGGTTTGTTTTACGCAGTTCCTTATGGATGAAGAAACTGTTTTATATTAACCAATGAGGAACGTTCCAGCTGAATTTGGTCATGCAAAGTCAAAGAATACGCTTTCCCGATGACTTCCTTTTGTTGCTCCTTTGAATAGCATTAAGCTTCTTATTTCACTAGTAATCTCCAGTCTCATATCTTGAATTATGAGGTCGGTTTTTTTTTTCTTATTTTTTCCTTTCTTCGACAGCAATGGAACCATCTTTGATGCCAGCTGGCTTACCGCAAACTTCAAGGTCCGATCCCAGAAGCTAAGAGGAGCAATCCAGGACTAAAAAACTTGGGAAATGGAGATTACATCGCTTAGGAAAGGAGCCACTAAAACGTTCCAAAAATGATAATCGCGTACTCAAAGTCAATAAACAAGAGTGTATGAAAACGCAAAACAAGCCTGTGATAATATTTATCGAATATAAATTTACTTTAGCGTAATCTCTAAAGCGCGTTAGCTTTGAAATTACAGGTTAACGTTAACGTGACGGTGAGTAATGGCGAGAAGTTCTCACGTGTCCACTCACCTTCAGCTGTCTGGGTTCAATCCGTTACTGCACGTGGCTTTAAGGTGTGTGCACGTGAGTCAGGCATTGGATCAAATGGAACAGGAGTCATCAACTGGTTGGCTTTTCAAGATCATCCCCAAATGACTCGTGGCAGCATCATTTTTGATGGAATATGGACAACGGAAACTAAGTGTGAAAAAGTTACCTACTTACAGGTTAGAATAAAGCTTGGGCTCGAGGTCAAAACCTTTAAACCGGGATTTTCTGTCCATTGCTCATTTGTTGTGTAATGTATTCTCATAATAATTTTAACAGGTTTTCATAATTAATTCAATGGGGAATCTACATTTTAAAATTTTGTTGGTAGATTGCAAAACTCAAACCCTGGTGATGAAAGAGAATGAACAGGAAATATTTCAGGTTTTATCCTCTCGAGTTGTAAAAGACAATTTGGCGAGTATTAATGCTAATCTTAGTGCCCTCACACATTTTCCAGCCGCGTACTTTCCTCTTGAACAAAGATTTATTTACTAAACATCACAAAGTGATGCTTATCAAACGCCGCAGAATTTTCCTGCAAGACCTTCCGTGTTTGTGTCAGCTAAATACAAACGTGACACAAAGCCAGATAACGCTATGTATGTTTGGTTGGAAAATGTGAATTCCAGAAGTTTCGAGGTGTGCATCTGGGAGTTCCTGCCCTGCGATGAAAAACATCAAGACACCACTTTGGTAAGAGATATTCTTACGATAATCCTAGTTTTCAGGAGTGGAAGCACAACCGTTAGTTTTTCCTACAACCTCATACTCCAACCGATGGAAACTTATGCTTTTTTTGTTACAGGACTGGTCCGCATTTGTTTGAAATGGCTCTGAATTCAATTTTACGCTGTCAGGAGAGGCAGATTTTCCAAACAGTAGTCCGCCAACAGCTGAGGACAATTATGGTTTCTGTCAAGTGAGTGTAATTTACTCTGATTTACTGTTTGTATAATAGAGGTTGTCGTATTACTAGAATTTTCCTGCAAATCAATTTTTTCCTTTTTATTTTTACAAGAAGTGAGGATTAACACAACCTTTTATGCCTCACATGTTGTCCTTGTGTCTGTGCATCATATGTACAATCCTCAAGTCAGCATGAAAACAACAACAACAACAACAACATTGACTTTATTTTTTTAAAATGAAAGAAATAAAGGCTTTTGTAGCCCGCAGTTAGCAAAGCTATTCTAGGCGGGCTACCTAAACAGACACTGTATAGGCTCACACACACACACACACACGCACGCACACACACACGCAACAATGAAATAAATAAATAAATGAGCAAATAAAAATAAATAATAAATAATAGTAGTAATAATCATGTTAAAGGTTTTAACTGAGCCAGTCACACAAGGGAGTTTTTAACAGGTCAAAGAGAAAGCTAATCAGTTGAAATACAAATATAAGCTAGAAAGGTCAAGGTAGCGCAAGTCAACATTCATCTCCTCAATTTCAAGAATTTTCAAAAGCAAGTGAGTTAGCTCACGTTTAAAAGGTGCTTTCTTTAGCTTACGAATTTCAGGGGAGATGCCATTCCATATTTTCGCACCAACTCTAGAAAAGGAAAACAACTGATGATTTTTTCTCGCCTGTTTTATATAAAATCTTCCAGCTACTGAGAAACGAGTAGAGTAGGAATGAACCTACTCTACTCGTGTAGAAAAGCCTCGTCTCACCGAAAAATAACATCATATCAGCCTGGGTTCAAGTAAATGAGCAGTTTACTTCGATGTTTATATGTCTTTTTGTTTTGCTGTTGTTTTACTATTTCTCACTTTTCGGTCCTCTTCCTAGGAAGTTAGCCTCACATCCATGAGGAATGCGTTAAAGACTTGAGTGGAACAGGGAGTAAACATGACCCTCTCTCAGTTAGTTACGTCGTGATAGGAGGTTTGTGTTCAGTCTGAGAATGTTCGTGCAATCATTTTATGAAGTGATTTTGGTCACTTTCGTTTACTCCAATGTAACTATCATTTTTCTTTGCATTCATAAACCTCAATCCTTGCCTAGACGTGTTTTTCCGATCATTTGGAGTCTGCAAAACCTACAGTACCCATGATGCTCTGTGTGTGTGTAACGACAACTGCCCTTCGTATCAAGATCCAGTCTGCACCGAAAATGGAACAACATATGACAACGAATGTCAGTACAAGTTGAGTTTCTGTAAGGGTATGGACAATAATACCTTGTATCATCCCGGAAGCTGTGAAGGTAAGCCATATTTCTCCAAGAAATAATTATTTCTGCTAGCAAGACACATGAACAAGATTACCAACCTCAGCTTTTTAATTCTTTACAGGTTTTCCAATCATTCATGGTCGAGTTAAGTTTCTTCGAGTTCCTGATTGGTCAAATTCAAGCTGTAAAACAGTCGTATTCCCGTCATACCGCTTCTATCCGAACAAAGAAGTTCAATTACAGATCACTCTTAATCACATGACCCTAAATGACTCCAAGACAGTACACTATGCCATCACATCTTGGACCGAAAAAGTCAATACTCAAAATTTTACAGTTTATGCAATGCAATCTGGGAGAAAAGGAAACAACGTCAATCCTTTCGCTACCGTTGATTGCATGGCGTACCAAGGAGCACCACCCGAGGGAATGGCGGGAAGAGTCAAGATGACAAAGTAGTGGTCGGGAACGAATTGTGCAGATGTGACCTTTTCAAAGGCAGGATATCTTTTAACTATTTATCACTATGGCAATTAATTTTGGTAAACAGACGCAACACCACTTCTAGGGAAAAAATAATACTCTGATAGTATGAAAGAAAAAGAAACAAATTGTCGGTGAGAATTGAAAACAGGTTCAGAGTTGTAACTTGCTAAACTTTGAATTTAGTTTGATACTTGTCTCTATTGGAAATTTAGCGTGGTCAAGATTCATTGCCTAACATCACTTCAGATCAAACATGAATACAAAATTAATGCAAAAACGCACTAAGATCACTGCATGGCATATCTTTACATATGTTTAGAGCAAGTTTAAGGCTTCACCTGATGTTCTCGTGACGTCCAATCACCAAAGACGTGGAAAGGAACACGACGCTGCGTTGATCTGGGTGGAAACTTGGCACCAGTTCATATCAGTATTTCTACATGGATTGAGGAAATAAGCTCAGATCGGATTGAAAATTTGCTTGATCGACACAGATTACCAAACTATTAGCAATCTATTTTTACCCTTAATTTTTCACGTTTTGAATTTTCCTCACTCAGGATGATTGTTGCATTTACTTTAATTAAGAAATTTTGACTGTTTGCAGAACATTAATGTATCTGGATTCAGAGTTTGCGTCAAGGAACTGTACGAGATCAGATACGATCCTGTTTCAGTGAGTTATGCGTTCCTAACAGGTGAGTTATTATGCCAAATACTTACAAACTTTGAGCGACAGAGAAGATGAAGCATGTTCAAGAGGAATAAGACATCCACATTTTGCGATTACATTTTCATACAATTAAAATGTGTCACATGCAAAGACATAATAAATTTATTATACCGCTTTCAAGATTAAATAACATATTCACTTCCAAACATCTGTGCTTCCGGATGGAGCTACTTCAATGGATTCTGTTACTACACAAGTGATACCTGTGCAAACTGGAACACAGTTGTAAAAGAATGTAGTCAAGAAAACTCAGTTCTTGTTTATGTCAACAACGATGAAGAATATGTTTACATACAACATCGCCACAATGGAGAAAAATCCTGGCTGGGTTTCAATGACAGATCAACAGAGGGCGACTATTCCGCCGCTCCATGTTTTAGAAGTTAGGATCATTTTCCGCCAATCTACCGTTCTACCGTTCCACCGTTCCTGCTATAAGGGTCGTATTCTTTTCCGAGCCTTTCTTCCCAATACGCATGCGTGGCCGGGCTAGTTTCCAGGTGACGACGAAGGATAGCGTGTTTGCGTTGAAGGTTTG